TCTCAGGAAAAAGAGAGTTTGATGTTGAATAAAATCTTGTATGACATACTAAAATGATCAACTGAAAATCTTGACTGAATCTGGAAAAGGGAAAGGTGGGCTTTAAGCTGTAAGCCCAACTACTTATTTGGGCCCTTTCGATTGCCATCAAGAGCGAGCGAGTTAGGGTTTGACAGAAGCATTTTGGCTCTAAAATCTTGGAGAGACTCTTCTTCTCGTTTTTCCCCTTTCTTCTCTTGTGTGCAGTGGGAGAGAAAGCCAAGATCTGTAGCTCGAAAATGGCGTTGGCGTTCGATGAGTTCGGGCGTCCGTTCATCATACTGAGGGAGCAGGATCAAAAGACTCGTCTTAGAGGCATCGATGCTCAGAAAGCCAATATTGCGGCTGGTAAAGCGGTGGCTCGGATCCTTCGCTCCTCTCTCGGCCCCAAGGGAATGGACAAGATGCTTCAGGGACCTGACGGAGACGTCACTATCAGTTCGTTTCTCCCTCCCTTTGATTTCATATCTGCGTTTTACTTTACTATGTTATGTTGTTGAAGCTGTTTCATGAATGGATCCACCTTGCTTTCGCCGTTCGTTTAGTTGTTTTCATAATCGATTCGCTATGTCTTAAATGCAAAGGAATTCCTCAAATTGTAGCAGTAGGCGGAATTGAAATTTTGGTCTCTTTTTTTTTCATCCGATTCCTACTCAAATCAAGCTCATGTCTTATTCATTGAAGTTTTCATTATGAACTTTCGTTGATATTTTTCTTTTTGAACGACCAATGGTATCTTCTTTCTGACCTTGCCTTTTTCCCCCAGCAAATGATGGCGCAACCATCTTGGAGCAGATGGATGTTGACAATCAGATCGCAAAACTTATGGTCGAACTGTCACGGAGCCAAGATTACGAGATTGGTGATGGCACAACAGGTGTTGTTGTCATGGCTGGTGCTCTTCTGGAGCAAGCTGAACGTCAGTTAGATAGGGGAATTCATCCTATCCGTATTGCTGAAGGATATGAGATGGCTTCTAGAGTGGCAGTTGAGCATTTGGAGCGTATAGCTCAAAAGTTTGAATTTGACGTTAATAACTTTGAGCCACTGGTTCAAACATGCATGACTACTCTATCCTCAAAGATGTAATATTCCTTCCTTTTAAACATTTCAATACTTTTTTATTTGGTTTTTAGAATATTGTCCCAATCTTTAATGGTTTTTTTGCTCATTTCTACAGTGTGAACCGATGCAAGCGCAGTTTAGCTGAGATTGCTGTAAAAGCAGTTCTTGCTGTTGCTGATTTAGAGAGGAAAGATGTCAACTTAGATCTGATCAAAGTAGAGGGCAAAGTCGGTGGAAAGTTGGAGGACACTGAGCTTATATATGGAATACTGGTTGACAAAGACATGAGTCATCCACAAATGCCTAAGCAAATTGAAGATGCTCACATTGCCATTTTGACCTGCCCCTTTGAGCCACCGAAGCCCAAGACTAAGCATAAGGTGGACATTGACACAGTGGAGAAGTTTGAGACATTGCGCAAGCAAGAGCAGCAATATTTCGACGAGATGGTTCAAAAGTGCAAGGTAGGTTTAATTCAAATTCTTATTTTTCATTATCATTTGGATATTGATTTGGATGTTGAGTGAGCTATTTTAGAATGTTTGTCTTTTCACAATGGAAATTAAATACCAGAGTGCAGTTTTTTTTTATGTATGATCCTTATGCTTAAAATTCCAGGATGTTGGCGCTACACTGGTTATTTGCCAATGGGGATTCGATGATGAGGCAAACCATCTTTTGATGCACAGGAATTTGCCTGCTGTCAGATGGGTCGGGGGTGTTGAATTAGAACTTATCGCGATAGCCACAGGTAAGTACATTACTTGAAGCATCTACTGATAGTGTTTTCCATCAATTATGTAGAGCTGATAGGATTTTTATCTTTTCTAGGCGGAAGAATTGTTCCAAGATTCCAGGAGTTGACCCCAGAGAAGTTAGGGAAGGTATTATTTACTTTCTGTAGGTCTTTCCAGTATACTGAGTGGATGTTAAGTATATTGAAACAGATCATTAATCCCCACATTTCTTCATATGTTTAGGCTGGCTTGGTTCGTGAGAAATCATTTGGCACAACAAAAGAACGAATGCTGTATATTGAGCACTGTGCAAACTCAAGAGCTGTCACTGTTTTCATCCGTGGAGGTACTCATAGCCTTTTCTTTTATAATTGTTACACTGTTTTTACTATGTCATTGTTTGATGAGAGAAAAAACCGATGTACTGAATCTAATATGCTTCAAAGTACGTATTTMGTGGACAAATATTTGATGGAACAATTTATTATGGGATACGGTGTAGGTAACAAAATGATGATAGAAGAAACGAAGCGTAGTATCCATGATGCTCTGTGTGTGGCTAGGAATCTCATCCGCAATAAATCAATTGTGTATGGAGGTGGTGCAGCTGAAATCGCATGCTCACTTGCAGTTGAGGCAGCTGCTGATAAATACCCTGGTGTTGAGCAGGTAAAAGACTATATTCCCTCTTCTCTTTGAGTCTGAAGTGAAATCAGTTATTTTACAAATCTTAACGCTGGAGTCATATTATGTATATATACTTCCGTATATGCAGTATGCAATTAGGGCATTTGCAGAAGCTTTGGACTCTGTCCCTATGGCGCTTGCAGAGAACAGCGGATTACAGCCGATTGAGACACTCTCTGCGGTTAAATCTCAGCAAATTAAGGTAAGAAGTAACTGACGAGCTTATTATCTATAGTGGCATTGATATGTTGGTGCGGTGACTGAACAACAATTGGCTTTATGAACAGGAGAATATTCCCTTCTATGGGATAGATTGCAATGATGTGGGAACAAACGATATGAGGGAGCAAAATGTGTTTGAAACATTGATCGGGAAGCAGCAGCAGATTTTGCTTGCAACGCAGGTCGTTAAGATGATTCTAAAGATCGATGATGTCATCTCTCCTTCTGAATACTGATGGAGCTACCTTTGTATTTACCTTTGGCCTCTTGGGGTGGTTTTTTTGTTTGGTATCGATTAGTTTTTGATACTATTCAACTTCATGATCCTTCACTTTTTCCCTTTATTTAAGAACATCTTAAGAATCTTTCTTGTGTGCGCGCGTGCTGATTTTGACTTTATCCCARTTMTGTTATTGAAGCCAAATAGCATTCAGATAGATCAGTGTTTAGCTGTTCAACAAGTTTGGAGACATTAATGCATCTGAAAAATTGCTGAATTTAGGATACAATGGTGGACCAAATTTGCAGAGGAAAACTTCAGTTTAGTTCCAAGTATCTTCTGCAGAGAAGAGGTCTACAGATGTCCAACAAATGTTATTTTCGAAGGGGTCCAACAAATGCTATTTCCGATGAGTTTCTAGGGTTTCATTTAGGTGATATTTCCGATGAGTTTCGAGGGCTTCTTTGGTTGATTCGTGTCCTCTTTTTGTAGACCAAACGGTGGTTCTTTCTCTGTTCGATCAAACGACGGTTTCTAGGGTTTTCCTAGTTGATTCGATCAGGTTCTTTTTATTTTTCGCTTTCTTTGTTGATTTATCGATGGAATCAATTAGAGTTTCTAAGGATATCTGCATAACATCTTAACGAAATTGATATCAACTCCTTGATATGTCGGGATTCACCTTATCTTCAACAAATCCCTAAAAACTCTTAATCGCTAATTGCTTCCATCGATAAATCAACAAAGAAAACTAATTGCTTACATCGATAAATCAACAAAGAAAGCGAAGAAGAAAACGAACCTGATCGAATCAACCAGAGAAACCCTAGAAACCACCGTTTGATCGAACAGAGAAAGAACCACCGTGCAAAAAGAGGACACAAATCAAGTAGAGGAGCCCTAAAAACTCATTGGAAATATCACCGAAATGAAACCCTAGAAACTCATCAGAAATAGCATTTGTTGGACCCATTTACAGATGTCCAACAAATGTCTCAACATCTGTTACAGCTAAGAATCGCTGCTCGTAAACTTCAGTTCCAAGTACTCTTTGTCTATAGATGGCAACACACCTCGTTTGCATTTTCTTCTAAGTTTTAATCACAGATGCCCACAAGTCTAAACTTTAAACCAGTGAATAAGGATAAACGTAGTTCTGCTTATACGTAAGAATACAAGGCACATGAACAAAGTTCATGAACAAAGTTCATGAACAAAGTTTCTATGACTTGCAAAAACCGGTTTCCTGTGGTCTTTGTACACAAATTCTTAACCTTAAGGACAAATGTCCCCACTCTTAAGATCTATTATCTTCCGACTCTGTTGTAGTGGGTTTAAGGCCGAATACCGAGATATCTCCTTTTGTTTTATTCAAATTTCAGTTCTTTGTTTGTTTGGCTTTGCCTTCATACATGAACACAAAGAGTCTTGATGAGTAGTGTTTACCGCTTCTATGTTTCATGAGAGTAGTGTTGTTCTGTGTCATGGCCAACACCGAATTTACCATTTGTGCTCTCAACCTTTTGAATGGATGGCTTCCCATTCAGAGCGACCTTGCCATCTGTTGTTTCTTGGATTAAGTTCATTTTTTTATCGGCTGTATCAGATTTTGGCTCATGTTCTTGTGCACTGTTTGTATTTTGATTCGATAAAGCTACTTCAACTTTCTGTCTCTCATCTTCTTTTTCTCGACGTCTCTTTGCTTCTTGCTCTTTGAGCAGCCTAAACCTGGGACAACATCAATGTGTTAATAATATAACAAATGATTCTAGTCACGAATGAAACATTTCAGAAAGTTTAGTACCTTTCACCAGGTTTGGGCCCTTGTGGGACGATTTTTTCACCACCCATCTCTCTTGGTATTTTCGGTTCTGAAACAGACTTCTTAATCACCGTTACTGAAATAGTCTTCTCAACTTTTTGAGTTTTATCTTCCTTCATGACCAAATTAGTCAACTTCGGGCCCAAACCTCCTGGTAATTCATAAAAAAATTAGTCAACTTCTCCACCGGATTTTTGGCACCGCCATATTTTTGAAGCCATATCTGCTGTGTTGTGCTTAAAATGTTGTTGGTCAACCTGCATAAGCATTCTTCAAACTGAGAACAAAGCAAGTGGAAATCTGACTCTCCCCCCTCCCACACCAAAAGCACTTTTTGAGTTTTATCTTCCTTCATGACCAAATTAGTCAACTCTGAATGTTTTCTCGATAACAGAACGTAAAGATGCATGCCATCGGTTGAACAATTCTTCTTTATTTCTCGCATGAGCACTTGAGTTGAATTGCGATATATGATACCTCGTAACTCTGTTTCGTGATGATCTATGGAGCAAAAAATCCTTGTTTGTTTAATTGATAACCAGTATCAACGAGATAATAATTTTCTGGTGGAGGCAAAGGAAACTCTGAATTATTTTGTTGTGCTATTGCGAGAATGGTTGTGTCGTGACATGATCCTAGTGCTTCATTCCAAATATATGTGAATAACATGTTCAAATCATATATAGCCATGATATTAAAGGATGCAGCGTCGTGTTGATTCCAATACATTCCTTATAATTTGGGTTTCACTTTTACACAAACATGAGTCCCATCCATAGCTCCACCGAATCCACTAAAATTTGGATAGTAATTTTGATTCACTTGTAGGAGTTCAGGAATTCGGTGTAGTTCTTGTCTTGTTGGAGTCTCAATATAATCACATGCAAGTAACTCAGTTATCGTAAGAACTTCGAAAAACTTTATATTCACAGTCTCATGGTTTCGTCGAAATCTCAAACCAACATCTCTTTGAACTTCATTGTATCCACATATCTGGAAAAACATAGAGACACTTTCTTCGACACTTATATTTAATGCTAGGTTGTAGACCGTAATATGTTGTACTATATCATACAATGTTGTGAAACAGTGAAGTGACATTCGAAGTAACTGAAGACAAGGAGCCTCATCTTATTGTAATTGACGCCAAATATTCCTCCATCCCATTCCTCCATCGGTTTTGATGGATGCTCTTTGAAAATAGCGATCATAGTAAGTTAAAGTTGGCTGAGTTATTAACTTCTCAAATTGGTCATTTTCCAAATTCTAAAGTTTAATTCTCTCTTCATAGTTCAAATTATGGAGGCCTTGTGATCGCAACTAGCATATACAAAAAACCTGAAGTTTAATAAGAATGAGAGACATTTTATCAGGAGGTAAATATAAATTTGCACGAAAGATTACACAAAATACAGATACCAAACTAGTAATAACATAAATTAGTTTATAACATAAACAAAAATGATAAAACACGCCCATCACAAACTAATATTCGTCTCGTGAATCACTTTGACGACCATCATTTATGCTTGCGTTTGGTGAACCTGATGCGGACATCGAAAGCACACCATAACGAGAGAATACCAAACCATCTTGTATACATACCAAACCGGTCCACACGGAGCAATTTGGAGAATTCTTACCCAACGAAGTATCCAATCGAGTAAAGGAGCTAGGATTCATTTCCTCCAGCAATCAACTATTCTAAGGTGTTTGATCGAGGAAAATCACCCCATTACCGAGCTAGTTCAAGAGATCACCGAGGAGCCTTCATTTCTAACTCCACGAGCCATATGGAGCCAAATAAGGAAACCTTCCGTTTCCTTCATCATGAAGCATCTCAACACTTTATTTGGCACTCAGGAGACACTCTAAAGCAAGGAAAAGCTTTACCATATGAGCCTTGGTACACTTCACCACAGTTGATCAAGTGGAGCCTTACATTGCCATTTTTGGAACCATAGGAGATTAATAAGCAACAGCTCTTTCTTGGACATTTTTGCTGCGTTATGAAGTCATATTAAGTGTATCTAAAAACTTCTTTGAATCTTGAGCTTGATTTGCATTGAACCATTTGTTGATGAGCCATGGATGTGAACCATATTTTTTAGACTACATCCGAACCCCATTTTTGAGGATTCGGTGGTGTTCCCCATTGTTGAAAACTAGGGCCTTCATAATTGTTACCCGCAGAAGATGGACTCCCAGATGATAGACCTCCTGAATTTGGACTCCCAAATGATTGGTTTCAGCCTAACTGTTTGGGCACATCTTGGTTGTTTCGTGAAACACCCGTCATGGCTGCTAAAAGTTGTAGCTTATCCTCGTCGGTACTTTCAACTATATCGATGAAATACTTACGCCAAAATACTAGTTCTTTAAGGCTATTAATGAAAATCTAGTATGCTTGGAAGCTCCAGTGCAAGGAATATTGCCTCCGCCTTTTTGAATTCATCGTAATCATTTTGGTCAAAACCACATAGGCGATGTTGTTGCGAACTTTGTCGTTGGAACTCTCTATAGCCAGTGATTGAGTCTTGTATGGTTGTCTCAAAAGATTGTATTCGACGACTACCTCGGAAACCACTAATAGGGACTCGTGATGTTCCCCTAGATATTTGTGAACGAGTTCCACGTCTACCACTTGATTGCAAGTTTATTCTTCCTCATTGCTAGCCTCTACGATGGGGGATTTGACCTGGTTCATTGGTGTACTCATTCGAAAGGTGTGTATTGTCGTCAACACTAACACAATACATTTCTTCATTTTCTTGAGTATCGAGCATGTCACCACTGTCGATGTCTGAGACACCATCCTCCTCTTCGTCAGTTGCACGCTTATTCATCAATTCTTCTCTTCTTTGGTGAATAGAATGTTTGAGTTTGTGAACGAACATCATGTAATACAAAACATCGTACCATCACATCCCAAAATTATGGCGGTCTTCGTTTCAGCTTCTTTGTTAATTTACATCCCTATAAATTAGTAATGTCATATTACTTAGTACCTAAATTTGGTAAATATTTTGATGGAATAGAAAGGTTTTGGGTACTTACGAACTCACGTTCCTTCCACCATTCATCAGATGCATATATCATCGATGTAGTAAGGTCAACCGAGATACCATTGGAATCCATAAGCTCATTCCACCTCTTGTAATTTTTTTTTAATTCACCAAGCTTGTTTTTGAAATACCCATAAGTTATATTCATGTTGAACGCTATGTTGAAGTTTCCAACCATATACGTTCTACCAATGGCATTAGGGTTCTTAAGCGTGTATACTGATTCATCAAACAATTGAATTAATGTTTTTCTATTGGTAAGAGCATTTAGTTTTGTCATTGTTCTACGCAATTCAAATTACAATATTAAATTCGTTTAATTAAAAATACAAGATCAAAAAACTAATTAATATTTACCTTGAGGGTTGTTTCTGTGGGAGGAGTTGAAACTTCTATAGGACGATTTGAACTTGTTGGTTCAGTAGAATTTGTCCTCCACTGACGATCAGACGACATATGTAACATGATATATACGATATTTTACCCATTTTTATATTATTTTTAATATGTTTTTAATAAAGAAATGAACGGATTTTGGACTTAACATGCTATTTTTAGCATTTTCGTGGGGTTTTGAAGTCAATACATGCTATTTGAGCATTTTGGGCTTAAAAAGAGTGAAATCAAACCTTTTCAAGAAAGGACAAATCCTGACCGTTGGATGTTTCACTCCAGATGAAGAAGTTCTCACCGTCAGATCAACCTCATATTTTACCATGAGATAGAAGAGGATCTCAGCTTCAAAACAGATATTCGATCGCCACAGTCCGACGGTCAGATCTTGAGATATCATTGATCTAAGGAAATCTGTTCTCGTAAAGATCAAGCCAAAGACGGTTCAAGAATATTCACCTATGATCTATCGGACGCCATAGGTGATCGATCGGATGCGGAGCCACTGTTTTTGATGGAGAGATGCATTTACACGGTGATCGACGGAGACGGTGGACGATGATGATCATCGACGGAGACGGTGGTGGACAAGACGGTGGTAGACAAAGGCAAGATCTTATGGACCAAATTGTATAGCATGTGCCAAATGATATTAATGTTTTTTTTACCCTTGCATGAATAGTAAATTGTGGTATATTTGGAAAGACTTTTGAAATAATGATATTTTTGGAAATGTAGTTTCTAGAAAATGGTATTTTTGGTGATTGTCCCTATATTTTAAATAGTTTTGTATGGATTAAGACCTAAAATAAAAATTGGTGTGGGAGTCGAACCTACACAGTTAAATTTGTCAAAGGTGTTTGCGGATTAGAAATTTCTATGTCGCGGACACACTTCGAACAAAGACTGAGAATAAGAATTCTTTATTGCTGTTTACGTTAAGCTGTGATTACAAGAGAGTTTCTCTGCCAAAAGTTCTGAACCCTCTTTTTGGGTGAGTACAATGAGATATATATAGTGTTTAAGTAAATGGGCCAACTAATAATATGGGCTTGACCCAGTAAGGAATATATCTAATTTAGGCCCATAATTTCATTAAGCCCATTTTGTTCATGGGTTTAATGTCATTTTGGACCTAGATTCAGACTCGTCCCTTGTAGACTTGATCCGATTTTTCAGGATGCTACAATTAGCCCCAGATCGGCAGTATCGAGTTATGATGGTGCTGAGGTAAAAGTTATCGAAATATGAGATCGATATGTTGGACTGCGAAGCCGCCAAGCGTGGATGTCTTGTCATCGAATTCGAGAAGTTTCTGTTATTTCGCATTGAGTCGATGTCAGCATGTTTTCCTGGGCTTGTCATCTTTTTCTTTTACTTAGAAGACTGAGGAGGTTGATGGTCTTGTTGCGTTAGTGGGCCTTGAGGCCTATTGGAAAATTTCAGGAATTTTTCAAGAAACAAAATGATTTTAGGAAATCCTCCAAGTATAAATAAGTCTGCTTCGTGGATATTATTTTCTACCAAATCACTTTTCCTCAGCAAAAGATAAAAAATCATCCTTTTCTCTCTCCTGTTTTAATATTTTTTTTAGGGTTTGTTTTTTTTGTTCGTCCTCGTTCAACGCAACCATCTTCATCCTTCTTTGACTTCTGTTTGACCTCTGGCGAGAGCTTCCACCATCGTGTCATTCGTGTCGGAGTGAAACTGTTCGTGTTCGTGCTCGTATCGGAGTGAAACCGCTCGTGTTCGTGTTGGATGAGATGAGATCGTGGCGACAAGATCATGACGAGGAGACGAGATCATGGTGACAAGATCAACTCCGACGATCGTGGTGAAGAGATTAACTCCGACGATCGTGGTGAAGAGATCGTCGCGTTCCCGAAGCTCCGACGAAGTGAAGTAAGAGAGATTCCGGCGAGGTTCTGCGACGGTGAGTTCGTGATGAGGTAGTGGTTCGAGGTCTTCATCGCAAGGCGATTTGAGGCCCAATTTCGTCGCCGGCGACGAGGTGAGCTTTGGCGAGATCGAGTTTTTGATGAGATCGAGTTTTGGTGAGATCGACCTTTTGACATGTGAGGTGGATCGAGGCGAGGCGGTTCGAGATTGAGGTGAGGTCTGAGCAAAGAGGCTGTCTAAAAACGGAAAAAGAACGGCGGTTCATGACCTTGCGAGTTGACTCGGTGAGTTGATTCGGTGAGTGAGTCAATTCGGTCCTGAATCAGTTTTTTTAACTCGGTGACTCCGTGGCTCGACGACTCGGTAAAAAAGCTAGCTTTGCGGAACAAAACTGACTTCGATCGTTGCTCATTGGTGCAGCAAAGAGGCGAATTGAGTTACTTGTTCGTCGCTTTGGAATTACTTCGTTGAATTGTTCTCTAGAGATGTCAGAAAATATGAGGAAACCGTCTGCTCGTGGGAGGAGAGCTGCCATGGCCAGGATGGAATCTAACGCGAGAGTGTCTCAGCAAGCTAAACCGATGAACTTAGTCCTGAGAGCTGGCACTACTGGAACTCTTGCACCTAGGTCGCGTCGCCCTGAGTTAGAGCGAAATGCTGCCGTCATCGCCGATCGTCGATCTAAGTCATTGCATAGACGTCATGATGATGCGAGGAGAAGAGATGACGGCGTGGAGGCAAGTCACAAAAGTTTCCGAGAAGACAAGGAGAAAGGCAGTGGTGATGGAGAAGACATGAACAGATCGAGGCGCGCTGCGACTCCTCGACATGATCA